ATATTACATACATAACTAAAAGTGATACGTCACGTTTGCACACATAACTGAAATTGATACGTCATGTTGCATACATAACTAAAAGTAATACGTCGTGTTGCGTACATAACTAAAACTGATATTTCATAGTGGATGCATAACTAAAGTAGTAGTCATATTGAATTAAAGATTAAATAAATCTGAATTACAATTTACCTGTAATGTTATTCAAATAATTGTCCTCTTTAGTGTCCGGTGTGCCTGGGATAGAAAGTCTGTGGGAATGCAGTGAATTCCTGGAAAACTTCCTCGTTCTTTGACACACTTTATCCACTATCGTAATTGGCAGAATTACCTCTAGTGTCGGCACATGTTTTGTTCTCTTCCCCAGCAAGGTCACCTGCGGAAAATAAAAACAAGTAATTGGAAATAGACTAGTCCTCGTCAATAAAGTTAGTGTTTTTCATTTTCAAATAATATGAAGTCACTGAAGTGGAGCGAAAGGGTTACACATAGCAACATCAAAACAGCCATTGACTGACATTACATAATATATTGCATTGAATATAATTATAAACAAAAGTGCAAAATAATGAATCGCTGAAAAATAGAATGTACATCTGAAACCTAAATATACATTGTTATTAGTATGATCCTAAATTTGGCCGAGTTCATACCAAGAACAAGTGAAGTTGTGGCCATCAGTCAGCCTTATGGAATCGGATATTGATCGGCAAAATCAGCGCAAGGAAGCGCGTGTTATAATATAACTTCTATGTGTTGTACATTGAATCATAGACCTCAGAAAAAAAGGTCGACATAAGGAAATTAGAAAAAAAAAGTAATTTGAATGATAAACGACTACCCAACACAATGGGAAATTTTGGATGAACTTTTTTCCATATTCACGCCATTATTACGTCGACGTTGTCAGAAAAAGTAGGTTTCCGCTCAATACACATGCTTTAGAATACGGTTTCATACTACCACATAAATCACTCATGATGCAATTCAAGGTAGTCGCATCAAAGTCTGTAAAGTATATGATGCGATAAAAATATGTCTTCACATCAAAACAATATACACAAATGGGTATCATTTCAGGCCAACAAAGTGACACGTCACGGTCATATTGCATACATAACTGAAAGTGATACGTCATAGTGCATACATAACTAAAAGTGATACGGCATATTACATATATAAATACAAGTGATACGTCATGTTGCATACAAAACTAAAAATGATATGTCATATTACATACATAACTAAAGGCCAAGAAGTCAGTTAAAAATCGTTTTTTTTAATCACCTAGCTTATGTCCACTAACGAACCACCTTGTCAAGCTGTCTAATCCTTGCCACCTTCAATACTATTCAACCAGTCATCTGTTTTCGAGGCGAAAATGAGGGCGTTTTCTGAAACTAATACTTACCTTAAGCGAGTAAGAAACTTGAATTAGGCAGTCAGACATCGTCGTCAAGGGAACGGATGGAATGTCGATTTCCTCATTAGTCCATCTTAATGTACCACGTGATTGTGGTGCATCGCCTCTTTTATGTGATAAGGTATTGTAGGTGGTGCGTAATTTGTTGCCATCTAAGATAATAATGACGTAATCACTGCATTACTAGACATATGTGAATAGTGTTCATTAACGTGTTGCTTTAATAAGACTCAAATTTCTTAATTTCAGTGAAAAAAAACATAAAAGAAACTTACAATTCTACCAAATTATAATTGATCGAAAAATCGAAACATTCTGTTGCACGTGAACTGAAGATGACAGGCACACAAATGCGCATGCTCCGCGAATTACAAGTTTGTATCAGAGCATTTGTATTTTTCTAGTTTATTCGAATAGTTCGATGAGATTTACTTGATTTAGGTTATTATTCATTATGAAATTAAAAAAAATACGTTATTGCAGCGCACGGAACAGTTTTAGTTCGACATAAATGTCACGGCGCATGCGCTTTACAGTACTATGCATATCTCCTGTTTACTCAATCAAGCACATGCGATGTTTTCATTTGCTAAACTAATGATGATGTGTGTACAGCAAAATGATTTCAATGTATAATAAATTATAATATAGTGAAAGTATATCACAACACGATATAATCGACGGAAACACACTTTTATCTCCTATAAATCGTGTTTTCTGACGACTGAGCATGCCTGTGACGTAATAGATGACACGAATAGAGTGCAATTGACGTCGACATCGTGTTGATTTATAGTCGTCTGTCAATGAAGACTGTGTTTTGAGAGATTCAACAATTCTGGGTGACAAACTACTACACACCTTGAAAACAGTTGTTGATTCGAGCGTTCATTTGAACCCATATACGTCACTCTGGCCATGGAAGGTACTCCGTTAGTACCTTCCATGCTCTGGCGTTACAGAAGCGCTCTGCCACAAGATGTCGTAAATTATAGGAATGATGTATTCGATACTCTACTCACCATGGGCTCGGTACGCGACTCTTTGTATAAGTGACGCTCTCGTTTCTAAAAAATTACTTTTGCTGTAATTTTTACACTCCAGGCACATAATAATCGGCTCTCCTGAAATTACACGAAAGAAACAGTGTGAATATAATCTCATAATTTCAAATAACTGAGAATCTTTAAAACATTAGAAATCACGCCTTTTTTCGACTAAAAGCAGTGTATAAATGGAAGGTATTGTCTTGTGTAGTCGCCCGTCAATCAAAATATGGAGAAGTTAGAGGGCGTGACGCGACGCATTTCTAATTAAATGTTAATTAAGCTCTCCGATTTTAATCAAACGCCATTGTGGAAGGAGGTTGTGAGTGAGGGAGTGGGTAGTGAACACCGGAAATTGTAAGAAAGAAACAGACAGTTTAGCTATTTCTAGCTGTACATAGCTAATTGTACATTATGTTGTGCGGGTTATACTTTTATTTAATTAGTTGTATACTTTTAATTAATATGCTTAGGGTTAGTTGAGCGGTGTTATACACTGAATGAGCCCTGTTCTTGACGCTCATCGTCGTAAACTAATGCCTTTACATCACAGTGCACAATATCGTCATGGAGAGCGTTCCTCCAGTAGTCACATCGGTGGCATGTGACCTGTATCGAAACAAGACGCGTCGCGACGACCAATAAAAAATAGAAATAGAAAAAACACGCAATCACTATCGAAAGAGTAGCTCTCCATCCAACGACTGTAATGGCCAACAACGTGCTCGGCATCCAAATCAAATGCTGGAGTTATTCATTATTCGTAGTATCCGCTCTGTAATTAAAAAGGCGTGTGTATCGTGTACAGAGCTGTATAACGTCATCAGCGAAGTGTAACGTGTCAGCGTGATGTAATTGAAACCAGAGCGGTTCAAGGCGTTACACTTTATTTCACATCGCAGTAATCTACAGAATTCATTGAGTGTCGCCGCGAGAAAGACATAGCAGCCTATATAGTTAGTATGGAAATTTTATATTTGAAAAATAATATTTTATCTTTTTTGTTTGCTCTGTGTAGAATGGCAAACGAAAATGCAGGGAACCGTCATAAGTCGAGTGATCGTAGAAGCAAAAATATTGTGTTTCCAACGTTTGTTTATTCTTAAATTTGTTATCTCTGACGAGAAAGTGTGTTGTTTGTCATTACATCTCACTTTAAAGCGGGAGGGTCGTCACCTGCGCACGCGCGGGAATTGAGTCCCAAGCGAGGACAACAACACACGCTAAAAACGCAAAGGCTCATGGGTAAACGCTTATTTGTAAACAATGACACGCTATGGCCACAAAATGGATGGAATATGAGTTCTTGACCAAAATATGATTCGCCTATGACGCGTATAAGTTTGATGCCTTCCAATCATTCTTCAATTTCAAAAATTCGGTTTCGATTATAGTAAGTGTTTTTTTAGAGTCTCAGATTGGTCTTCCACGAACGATTGGTGGCGCTAGTTATTGTAGTATAATGGCTGTCATTAAAATGATCTACCACGACTATGCCCTGAATATTCAAAGAACTGGTGTGGTTAAGAAAAGCTCAGCCGACAAAGGGCACATCTGTACTTAGCACCCAGTGGCGTTAAAGATGTAATATTGGAAATGGGATGTACGGTGCTATTGCGGACATACGCATTTTTGAAAGTATATATAGCAATATACTCATGCATATACTCTGTATGTATCAAGTTTACCAGAATGTTATGCACATCATTCGATATGTCAAATATCGACGCTGCTAGCGGCATCATTCGAAATACAACGCTGCATTTACAATACCAGGTGTCAACAGTAACATCCCTCGCTCACTTGATATCATATGTATAATATTATCGTAGTTACCATAGAAACACTGACGTCAGATATATGACTTTTGTAAAGCGCATTAACTGTTCAGCTTGTATGGTGTTTGCGACAAGCAGTCGCCATGATGGTTACAGAAAAATGATAAAATAAATGTGACGTCCGCGTCAATTGTAGTTGATATTCCGCTTCTATTTTAATGTTCCAAAATTGCTCCTCGAAACATTTTCTGATCTAGTTTCACTTTGTTTGACATTATCTGGTTAAGTTCCGGCAACACTTTGGGACATCGCCATTTTGAATTTCGTCAACAAGAGAGCAACAACACAGGAAAACCACATTTTAAAAGAAATGTTCTCCGTCGTGAGAGGAAGCTTTTCTGGCAATCTGATGAGAATACATGTATGAAAGATGTGTCACCCACTAGATCCGATTAACTGGGAGCTAAGAACTAAGAAAGCTGATGAAATCCGAAATATGTTTTTTTAAATCGCCGCAGTGGTTTCGCAGCTCGCGTATAAATTCCGTGTAAACAAGCAATGTGTTTTACACGCGATGTATGTGTGACATGGGACCCATACTGATCACGACGCGTTCCAACCACAGTGCCGCTGTAAAGTTGGTTAACTATTTGAGGATACCGTTGGTGCTCGCGTAATAATAACAAAATAATGTGAAAATATCTAGTATAGTACAAAATGAAATATATTAGATTATACACACCGAGAAATGTTGTATGTTGTGTGTATCGTTTACCAACTACGAATCAGCCTACACGCTGCTTACGTAAGCATACTAATATTTCGTGCACCTGAAATCTACTTATGGCTTATCGACGGCCATGAAGTCGATGAGGCTGTGTTAAGATATTGTTTAGCTATAATGCATCATATTTTAAATCACCACCATTGGTCACGAAACGCCACGCCACGTGTCTCATAAAGATTCCAGTAAAAACAGTCTTCCCAATGAAATTAATTGAAGTCCAATAATTTAACCGTATAATTTAAAAGAAAACAAAAAATAACGCGTTGTTTGAAAACAGAAGATGTTCACAGTTGATGTTAGCACAGATATGTGTGGAAAAGGTATAATCAAAGTCGTATGATTTTTTTTTAATAACGAACAATAACTTCGATAGCGTTAAACGATATTTATTGCACCATTTACTTGCCATATACGACGGTCTTAGCAATACACGACGAATATGGTGCTTAAAATTAAACTCTCTGAGTAACTGTGGACACAGTCACTCTACTAGGAGAGTGACTGTGCTGTGGATAACTGTTATTATTCAGGTTAATGGAGCTGATCAAATAAAGAAGACAGCGTAACCTCGTGACCTTATAAGCCTAATTTTTTTGAGATCGATTGTATGTATAAATCAAGATGATATCATGTTTCGTTTTATCATATTACATAAATACAATGATCTCGGATTTTTCATCAATTTTAGTTACATTTTTTGTTGGCACTCCGCAATGAAAAAATATACCCCGAGGGAAACGGGAATTGCAAAGAGTAATAAACGTTTATTGTCCGTCACTGCAATATAACAAGTTTCGTTTACTGAGTAATAACCCAGGACTGCATAAATGTCGACATTCCCATAGGTTCCAGTCATTGTCGTAATTGTATAGCCAAGGCTTACACTAATAATAAACGTATAAGGTATAGTTTTTCATCACACAAATAGATTACTATGTGGTTCTTTTATGGACACGTTTCAGCTGATGTTTCATTCGGAACAATGGGACAGTGAACCCAATGGTGTTTTGATATATGTATCTATATATCACCTAGACAGGTATATTAAATTGAAGTCACACTCTGAATTCTCAAATACAGTGTTTGAGGTTCAATCGCAGCTCATTGCGGTGCAACACGTTTGTGGATACTTGTTTCGGCTTTTAAGTCCCCGGCAGCGCGGGCGTTTTCAAAGCACAGAAGAAACCTTTAACGCCATGTAGCGGTTATTCTCTTCCATCATAAATGTTTCCAGAATGACAGGTTTTGGTGGAATAGTAGTAATAAAGTGATTATAATTTATGTATGTAATAGTAATCGTGTTTACATTTGTGGTTCTACATTGTATGCGGGCGGTTCACCGTGTTACCAAAATCTACGCAACCGTTGTTGTTGGGGAACAAATGACAAGCTCGGAGATCAAAACAGTCAATTCGAATCAGATCGTAAGCTGCATAATACGACATTCTGTAATTGCTTGAGGTCGAATCAAGCAAACAAAAGACAAGCACTATATATATTTAGTAGGGGAGATTAATTATTTCGATGCACAGTCTGGAGTCTAAGCCGTTTTTTCTCAGCAATATGTACTTAGGAGAAGTGTGCATGCGGATGTTAATTTCACAAACCAGAATTGTACGAAAAGTACCACATTTTTCCAATATATACGATTACTGCATAGAGTAATTACCAGCTTGGGCATCGCAATACATTTGTCACTGTGAAAACACGCTAAACAATGACGCATGCGCAGTTCACCACTCACCTATACAGTAGCCCTGTTTATTCGTACTAACTTCAAGGGATATTAGGTCGGATTTGCATAGAAAGCTGCACACTGTCGTCTCTAGTGTTTCGCTTGATTTTCTCTGTAATTATGAAACAAGCAAAAAAAGAACAATTTTGAATACTAATAGGCACATCGTGAGGGGATACTAGTAATGATAGAAATCATGAACGTGTTTCTCCGTAATTAAAAAAGTGCAGGGAAACCGTGCCATCAAATTGGCAACAACACTTTCCATGGCACAACTACCAAAACCATGCAGTAAAATAGAAAGTGATAGTAGTGAAGCCTTGAAAGAATCCATGTTCAGAGGTATTATGTTCTTGTAATGTGCTTAGCTAGGAAAATTTGGATACTAACAACAATTAACACAAACGATTTTAATAATGGGGAAATGCAAGAAAACGAAGCTGATGAGAAATGCACTACTCCTCCCTTCACTTGGAATTTTGTACTCAAACTACAAGATTGTGAAAGGACAGTGTCCGGTGATATTATTGACTTGACTACTAAGTTATGGCAACTTAAACCACACAATTTTCTATTGAGTGGTCATCATCTGCGGGGGAATAACCGCCAACAAGGCTAGGACACCTGCAGACAGTTCCAGAAACTGAAAAGGGATAGTTCCAGAAAGACCAAACAGCACAGACCAGTTATCAACATCAGACACTTACGGCTAATCTATTCACGTTGTGTTCATGGGTTTCGAGAACAGTGAAACATCGTTTAGTAGTGGGTTTACTCATCCATGGTCGGTCCATAACAGCCTTAACCCAGTACCTGACGTGTCCGTATTCTCCTTCGTACGACGTCGGTAGTTTACACGTGGGTAGCTGGAATGAGAATGGAAATTCGTGCTTGCCTTCCGTGATCTCGTTTGCTACGATATCAGCACCTGTCAAACAAGAACAGGCATATATACGTATGAAGTCAACATTCAGTGTGTGTGTGTTTATTCCAATGTCATGGACAAACAAGAATAATAGCATACGTGCTCTTCTGATACAAGGTAAAACTATTATGTTAAAAGCAATAAAGGATGCCTAGGTGTTCTATATTGTGGTTTAGTCATTAATGTCTTTTCTATAAGATGCAATGACTAGTTAGTTAAGTTAAAATAAGGTACGTTTATATATCAAAGTATTGGGAAAATCACAGTGCGCATGTTCAAGATTTGATATGTATGTAAGTTACGTTTAGTTGTGTTGTAAATTTTGGTCAGTTTGACTCGAAGCATATATATATATATACAAGGTAAAATTTGATACATCGACAATAACTGTCATCAAAGAAACTGGATTTCTGATTGTTCTGACCTTTACATGTTGGTATTGAATAACCAATCAGATATAGCTTAAGCTTGTCTGTAAACAATGACACGATATGGCCATCTTACGCATGCGCAGGTGACGAATCCCCCACTTTAAACTCATTCTCAGGCTGTAACTCGTTCTAACCATGGAAGGTAAGTGCGTGGAGTGACTTCGACTGAACTAATTTCTGTCTGATTGATGTGCGAGTGCTTCACGGAATGAAAGATGTCTGACGAGCCAATCCAATCGTATAGATGGTGGTCTGGAATGCTTTCAAATAAAAACAATTAGGTTTGTAATGCTTATACGTATATTTATAAATATAAACATGGGTTTGTTCAAGTTGATTTCAGTGTCTACAATAAATATCATGGGCAGATTCGGACTGCAAACACAATGGAATTTGTATCACTAGCTTCATAAGAGTCTATGCAATATAGGACACCGTAATACTCTCGGTACAACAAATCCGTTCAAATCCAATGTAATGATTTGAGGCTATGACGTTTAGTTTAGTTATTTGCATAATGATATTGATACATTGTATGGAACATCTCGTGAGTATTTAGACTCAGTTCCAGACCTAGCAGTTGAGCAATAAACACCTTGGCTACATGTGCTCCTCTCCAATGTGTTATTCTCCTCCCGGATCTAATGACCAATACTCACTTGGTTCACTCTACCTTGAGAAGTCTGTTCTCAGTTTACATATCATGGTATTGGTGGGGTGTTAAATCAAAATAATGACAAAGGAGAAGAACATCCCATAGTATACATCAGTAGGAAGTTGTTGCCTCGTGAAATGAACTATGCGACTACCGAGAAGGAATGTTTGGCCATTGTTTGGGCAGTGGAAGCATTATATCCATATTTGTATGGTACAGCATTTACTGTTCAGAGTGACCATCATCCTTTAAAATGGTTGAATCAATTGCGCGAACGGAATCGTAGACTGATGCGTTGGAGTCTGACCCTGCAAGGGTACCAGATTATTTTCCAACATAAAAAAGGGGTCAAAAATGGCAATGCTGATGGCTTGTCAAGAGCATGGCAGTCAGATGTGGGTTGACTTCCCAAATTAATTGTCAGCAGTTGTATGAGTGAAGTATGAGTAAAAAAAATGATGAGTGTTGTGTGCGGCTTGGTGCTTCACCTATCACCTAAATATCATGTGCTAGATATTAAGTTTATCCAGGTACTGCAGCACAGTCATATTTTAGAATTGTTTGCTGGTGTTTATGGTTATGTATTTAACTTGTTATTATTGAGTTCTAAGTATTTTGAAGTGTATTTCAAAGTTTTTAAAACAGCTTTCATCCTCTATAAGGGGAAAGGAATGTAATGATTTGAGGCTATGACGTTTAGTTTAGTTATTTGCATAATGATATTGATACATTGTATGGAACATCTCGTGAGTATTTAGACTCAGTTCCAGACCTAGCAGTTGAACAATAAACACCTTGGCTACAAGTGCTCCTCTCCAATGTACTGTGTTATTCTCCTCCCGGATCTGGTGACCAATACTCACTTGGTTCACTCTACCTTGAGAAGTCTGTTCTCAGTTTACATCCAAATTTATAAAAATCAGAGGCAATTAACTTCAATCAGCCAATCAACAATGACAATGCGTAACGATGTCAATTGAAAACGTTCGAATTTGATTAAATCTATCAATAGAAATCTTTCGTTTCAGTTTGAATTTTTTCTTATTTATAAACATTTATAACGCTGAAGGGAACCGGTTTGTCGTGCATTACAACACACATTATTATGCTCCACTCGTATCCACTTATATGCCCACGAATTGGGAACGCTTGGAATGAGACAATTAGGCAAAAGTGGGAATATTCAGACTGCCTTAAATGGCACTAACGTCTGTGCATATCAAGCATTTCACAATACCACTCATTGTACAAACATGTATGTAATAAATATAGCTAGAATAAGCAATTTACCAGTAAAGTACACCGTCACCTTAAAGCGGAGGGATCGTTGCCTGCGCATGCGCGGGATTTCAATCCCAAGCGACGATAACAACGCACATTAAAACGTAAAGGTTGACACATGTTTGTAAATAGCGACACGCTATGGCCGTCTACCGCGCGGCACAGGTCACGACCCCCCCCCCCCCCGCTTTAATAATACAATGCGTATATTTAAGCTCAGACTCGTCTGAGGTTTAAGGTAGAACGCAACACACATGAATAAAATATTGTCATTTTCCTTTTTTAAATATTTTTTTTTCTCTCTGTTTTAGTGCATTCTATTGTTGTTTCCTGCGACAGGGATATATCTCCAAATTTGTTGATGTCTACAATATTTAAACAATTACAATATTCTAGCGGGTGTTTACATTGTGGTCTATGCAAATCGCTGCTATATGGCATTTTATGCCATTTGTTGTTGTGGTGGTCTCTTAGGTATAGTTGTAAAATATATGTGCTATCACAACAGACTGATATCGTGTGACGATTTTATTCTTCGTTTTAATTTAATTAATTTAGGTTCGTTTGCACCATTACATTCATAGGCAAAGCAACGTCAGATGAAAACTGGAGGGAAACATTGATTGAAGAAAACGATACAAATTGAATGTTGACAGAAAAGTATATCTTAGTGTTGGTCTTAGTATCGATGCGAACACATTTGCACCACTATAAGCATAGACCTTAAAAGACAGTAATGCTATGTCGGTATATTAATTCCCTTGCCTATTTGCATTATGATTCCGCTACAAAACAGACGTACAACTGAAATATGATGAATGCAACATCCGAGTTGAACAGACGTAAAATTCAATTTCTCTCACAGTGGATGGTAAATTAAAAAAGGAATTCCTGCCATGGGGTCGTGTGTGATTTCCTGGTACGCTATGCTATATAATATTGAAGAGAACAAAAAAATGGCACCTTCAATTCACATCAGACATGAAGGTACCCATAATCTAGATTTCGATACAGACACGTTTGGGTTCACCTACAGACACGTGACATACTGATGAAAACATTACAATTAAGCCGTTGTTAAATTAGTAAATTTAGTATACATGTATGAGAGAAATAACATTTGCAACCACTTTTATTGTCTCACTACCGAAACGAATAACGGACGTCTATTTTTGATATGAAGGCACAATACAATAAACAATGTTAGAACTTGAAAAACAGGGGTATTTTATACGTAGAGCCAATGAGTCACGTGACCAGGTTTTTTTTTTGGGGGGGAGATGATTTGCCTAGTTTTTAAAATCAAATAGCAAACAGAAATCCCAGAAACAGAAATTCCAATTCCAAAACTATTTAACTACGCTATAGCATTGGCAATGTTAGACAATTCAATTTCAAAACCGATTGGCGTGAAACCGGAAGGGATTTGTACTCAAGGATCTTGTTCAAATTGCTTAGATAACAATCTAGTAACTCGTGGTAGATTCAATATTAAATAATCGTTAAACTAACGAGATGTCAAAGAAAGCTTAGAAAGAACTCCGGTGTGCTGAGAGTAGTAGAGACACAGTAAAAATCAAAATTAAAATGAAAACTAATTATGAAAATCAGAAAATTAAAATAAACAGATTTGAGTGTGAAACTAATAAGGTCAGCGCAATGTAACAGACCATCTATGTACCAAGTTTCATTGAAATGTGATCAAAATCAAAACAATATTAATTATCATGCTAATTAGGGAATTAATATGAACAGATTTTAACCCAAAACTGATCATATTTGTACATTGTCCTAGAGCATCTTTGTACAAAGTTTCATTGAAATGTGATGATTAGTACTTGGGATATCAGTGATATCAGTGCACGCGTACTTTCCCGTTTTTTTTGGAAGTGTTCCGGGTTCCATAACGTTATTGCATATTATGAATAAGTAATAGCAATGAATATGCTATTCCTTTTTCGGACTACGATTTTAAAAAAGAAAATTAAAAAGTTGCCACGGCTGGGCCAGTCTAACCATAGACCTTAAAGCGGGAGTGTTGTCACCTGCGCACGCGCGGAAATTGAGTCCCAAGCGACAACAACACACGCTAAAAAACGCAAAGGCTCATGGGTAGACGCTTGTTTGTAAACAGTGACACGTTATGGCCATCTGACGCATCGTGACGACTCCCCCGCTTTAAATTATCGAAGGTCTGTGCTGACACCCGTATTGAACACGACGCGGCACGGCGACTGTGGCTCTTTGAGAAAAGCGTCTCCTAGGAAACTTCTACAATAATTAGCATATAAACATCGGTGTACTTGCACTTGAAACCCTAACAAAATTGACATATTGACGAGGCATTATTGGGAACATTCTGTATTTAATCGTACTTGCAGGGTGTCACGCGATGATATATACACAATAGGTTGTAATATACGGCGCAGTAAACTAAGAACATTGTTTCCACTGCAGACAAAGAACTATTCCGGTGATGAAATATGTATATGTACTTTGTGCTAATAGTACGTGACAGTAACTCAACGTGGAGACGCGTCAATAAAACGTATTTTACTTTAGTGCTGCGCATGCGCTTAAATGTAATCAATTAAATTCACAATAGAATGCAAAATAAAATGAATTTACATAAACTA